GGGGGGGGGGGGGTGTTTCTGTTTTGGAGAAGATGAAGACCGTTCTTTATTATATATATAACGTCTTTTGTTAAGATTATTTTCTATATTACACCCACCCACTCCCCCATGTCAAACAAACCCAATAGAGAGCGATCCACCCACCCCCACTTCCCCCAACCCCTTCTCATGCCGTGAACAACTTATGAGAACAAAAATTTCATCTCAACGCCATTACACATAGTGGAATAGAAGCGTCGCAAAATGCATGAATTTTTTTATCTTGATTGACTGGTTATGGGATTAAGTTGGATTTGTTGTTGTTGTTATTGTTATATTGATCGTCTATGACACTGTTAAAAAAGAGAGAGGACAAAACGAACCTTATGAATCTTAAGGAAAGAGTTTGTAAACTAAAAATTGGTCACATTTTAAGGAGGATGACAGGGAGTGAGGTTATATTTTTCAATCGTCGAACATCTCTTTCGATCGCTAGATATTTTTCCAGTCAGATTCCTTTCTCTCCCCACTTCAGTGTATTATTTGGGAACTAACTTTGGTTTAAAATCTGATAGAGTTTCTTGTTATTGTTTAATTTTTTTAGGATTTTTAATTTATGAAATTGAAGTGAGCTCTATTATATTAATCTCCATTGTTTCAAGTGAGGAGTAAGCGAAGAAGAAGATAGAAGAAGTAAAAAGAAACGAAAAACTTGGAGAAAAACTATAATAAAATAAGTAGGAAAATACATTTTTTAAAAAGGTATCGGAATTAAATTTTTAACCTGTGTTCTTTGTCTCTCACTCTCCTCAAGAGAAACAATAGCTTTGAAGGTGAAACATTTTATGTATTTATACTAAATTAAAAACACGAAAACTCTTAGGAAAATATCGTTCGCCTGTTTTACCATTTAAAACTAGAGCTCACATTGAATAAAATAGTCATTTTATTATATTTTTAATTCTAAAATTTTGAAATCAACTAAAACTTTATTTATTATAGTAGAAAATGCCAATATTTAGGACATTTAAATCAAGTAGAATTTTCCTTTTATAATTCAAAATCCTAATATTTAGGAATCAAATATAAGAACTATTTTTTATGTTAAAATACATTTTAGGAATTCAAATTTCAAAGTTCAAATATCTCACCACTAAACGTCAGATTTGGGTTCAAGACATACTATTTTTAATTTAAAGTATTGATTCGTCCATTTTTTTTGTCCAGTACTATTAATTATTCTAAAGTAAAGCTAGACGAGGAATTAGAGTTAAAATAAGCCAATATACGACTAAGATAAGGGAATTAATTTCTACTTTCTTCGTCTCAAATATTTATCTTAATTCCTAAAAATAGATAATTCAAATTATTTGTCATTTTAGAAGTTCAAGACAAAATTAATTAATTTTCCATTTTATCCTTAGTAGTAATTGTTCTTAAAGATGGAGATGACACATAAATAAAGTTAATATTCAATGAAGAGAGATTATATTAAACACATAAATAAAGGTAAAATAGTCAAAATTCCTTCTAACTAATGTTTTTTTAAGGACATATCAAATAGAAATACGATAAATAATTTGAGATGGATGAAATATTTATTAGTAATCAAGAGCCTTTAAATAGGTAGAAAGATGGTGAATTTGTTTATGTTATGAAACATTTATATTAACAACAAGAACATAACTCCAACCAAATAAATAATTGGTCACTGAAAGAAACTCATCAATTGATAATGATGATGAACGATTACAATTATAGATTTATTAGTATAGAAGTTGCACTAATCTACAGTGTCATTCGTCTTTTTTACCCTTTAAAAATAGATTTAGCATTGGACAACTATGTAATTTAAGTTACTTTCCCAATATTTAAGACTTTAAAATCAAGTCATATTTTATTATTACATAATATTTAGGAGTTCGAGATCAACTAAATAAGGATAAAATATATTAAGAAAAAAGAGGAAACTATAAAAAGTAAAAATGAAAGTTTCTTTTCAATGAAGGACAAAAAATATTATATATTCGTGTAAATTTTTGTGCCTATATCGTACAAGGAAAATTTTATCGTATAAGATCAATTTTGATCCTTTATTTTCCTTTCCATACAAAAATATTTTCTTGACTGTTTAAATTATATTTTATTATATTATTTCACATCTATAATTATTGCATGTGTTAATTTTCCTAATATTGACCTATTTAAGATTTTCAAATCAGTTTTATTTATCGAATATGTGTTATTTGAACCATGTCAGAAGTCTTAATATGTAAAATTTAAAATTAATTAAAATTTTAATCATCTTTGATATAAATTTTTATTTTTTAATAATTTGTTCTTCTTACATATAAACATATTTATTAATTGACGTGGTAATCACGTGCAACGCATATAGGGGTTAATTAAGTACAACCCTATTGAGGTAATTGTGTATTATCTTTATTATTAAATTAAATATGGGAAGCTTTTAAGTTTACAAGTACATATTTACCCTTTCTTAAAAATTAACCCTAATTTGGAAAAAAAAATGCCTACACTTCCGATAAAATATAAAAAAGGAAAAAAAAGAAGACAAGCCAACTAGCAAAGGAAGAGATCTATCGCCATATTAATTAGTTCTCTCTTTGTAGAAGATTGAAGTTCACACTGGTAAATTGCTTTCCTCTCATGTACATACACATTTCAAGCAAGTATAGTATGAGCAAATATGTTTGTTCATATGGGTAAACTGTTTTGCTTCTGCATCGCGTTTCAGTATAATAACATTTTTTTATCACTACTATTGATGGAGTAAATTATGCCTTCTTAAGAGAACTATTTTCGTGTGGGGCAAACGAGGCTACAATTTAATTTTCTCTACGATTTCCGTTTTGTGATTCTCAAATGAAAGGAACATGCACTAGGAATTCGGCTCCCACTAGGGTCAATTGGGCGGAGTGGTAACTCATTTGAGGCCCTTCCGTTTTTTCCCCAATTTAAGTACTGGAGGTAGTGAATTGTATGCATTCAAGTGGGTTCTTTTTCATTTGATTGATCCATTGTGCATTCGTAATCTACTGAAGTTGATTATAATCTGTTTCAGTTATTACTTGGTTTTGAATTAGAAATACTATGAATATGTGATTATTTGGGCAATTGAAGTAGGAAAAAGAGGAACTGTTTAACTAGGACTATGTACACTTCTTTTTAGTTCATAATTTGAAAATTTGGAGAATATGGCTAGAAGTGCATGATAGAGGTAGACTGAAAATTGTATATATCTAAAAAGAACCTGTTGTGATGAGTAGAAAGTTGGCATATTATTGTACATTTTTCACTCGAAAACAGACCGAGTCTGAAAGATTGACTTTCTTGATTCTATTGTCAAAAAGTTTTTTAGAGGGTGTCATGGGTTTGAGCAAAACTGAAGTGAACTTGAAGAGATTGCTTGTAACTGCACCACAACAGCAAAATCAAGCAAAGCTTATACATGTAAGTGCATATATCATTCAAGTTCGATTTTTTATAAAGGAATGATGGTTGCATTTTCTCATTTTTCTTTTCATTCTTCGAAATAGCTTCGGTGCTTTTTGTTGCATTTATGTGAGACTGGTCGTGAATATGATGAGTTTATATATATATAAAGATATTATATTCTTGTACAGATGATTCTAGTCCTTAAAGGTTTAAACTTTCTGATCACTATGACATGCCTATACTCTAATATGGATTTTTGTAATTTAATTTCATGTTTTGGTGTTTGAGTGTGGGTACATCTGGTTATCTCATTTGGAAAAGTGTTTTTAGACCTAAATCACATGTTATAAATTCACAAAAAGGATGTTTGGTCATCTTGATTTCCTGAGCTATTAAGAGGCTTATTTCTGTGACTTTGATGATATGCTTTAAGAAGCTTACTTTGAAACACTAGGCTTGTGTAAAAGAACCTAATAGGTTTCTTTGACTAACAGTAGATCAGTAGCTATATGTTTTTTTTTTTTTTTTAATTTAAAATTTTATTTTCATCTTGTTGATTATTTTGCTAGAGGTTTTTAAGAATTTAAACAATGTGCTATTTAATGGAGCTCATATTATCTGTGTGGGCTGTGAGCATTTAAGAGTAAGGCTTCTTTGTATTTTGGGAGCTTTAAATATTTGGGCAGCTTCGAGTGAACTAGTAGCTCTGTTGATTCACTAACACAATGGAGGATGCTGGGGATTTCCATTGTCCAATCCCCATATGAATTCATCCTTAAAAAAGGCTACGTATTTTCATCCTACTTTGGGTTAATATCAGATAAAGGCATAATGCTACTGATTAAGTGGTCTTTCCTCAAGTAATTTTATATGGACCGTTTGGAAAGAGATGAACCATTGTGCATTTGACGGACAGAGAGGACTAATGGTTAACTTTGCCCGCTTGTTAAATATACTTCCTCCTATTTTAGTTAGTGTTGGTAAGAGTGATAGTGTTCTAGGGGTTCAATATTGGGACTGGAGTGCACTGGTATAAAACACTTGCCTTCTCTAAGGATACATCTTTTCGGACTTTAACAACAACAAACAACGACAAAAAACCCAGTGAGTTCCCACTAGTGGGGTCTGGTAAGGGTAAGATGTACGCGGACTTTCCATACAAATTTTGTATACAATGTTGCACCCCACTTGCATGCCTTCAACACATTTTACCTGTAAAAAGTTCTGTTTGGAGCAAAAGTACTTTTTCCTGATCTCTACATGGTGATTAAGATCAGTAATACTGCAATATCATCATATCCAGGATAAACATAAACATGGCTTAGGATGACTCATCCATCTACTGTTTTAAAAAAAAAATCTGATATAGGATAAGAGATAGAGAGTCATAGTAATACCTCCCTGTCTTCCCAAACCTTTGGACTTAACATGCATCAAACTGGTTTTTTGATGTCTCTGGTAGATACTATTTGTTTCAGGAATCTGATCTTTTCCCTTGCAGTTGTATATTCTCTGACATAGTTGTTAATTGTGAAAGTTAATAATTCAACGTGCACGCAGCTGCAAATTGTGACATAGGTTGTTTCTATGAAAAACTTTTCAGAAAATCATGGCATAGGCAATTTGCTAATGTGGGGAATTGTGCAATTCTTGTCATCTCGATTTTTCTTTCAACAGGGATATGTATTTATTATTTCTATTTGTTACATCTTTCACAGTATGTTGCTACTTTGCGTGAACTGCTGGAGCAGGTGGCTGAAGAGAGGAATCCAGACGGATTACCAAGGTCTATATGCTTTATTCTTTTCCAATTATATAATTTGAAGAAAATTACATGTTGCTACACAAATTTCCAGCACTTTTGGCTTCCTTACCTTCTGTGATTTTTTTAATAAAGTTCCTGCGTTCTGTTTCTTTAGTTGGAGTTATCATTAAAATTTAAATGTATGCTGCCTAGCCATTTCACTCTACCTAAGTAATAAATTGGAAACCCTCTCAGGGTCGATTAAAAGGAAATTACCCTCTTTCACTCTCAACTCCCCCTACCCTTCTCCAAATTTGGACATATTACAGTTATATTTTTGAGTTAGTGGACAAATATCCTGCCTATAATGAAAATTCCGCATCCTGAGCATGACTAATAGCCTAGTAATGTGACACTGGAAGTCATGATGCTGGGATTAGTAATCTTTGTGCTGACCATTTGGCAGTGTGCAGCACCATACCACAGGAGGACAATAATTCCTTTCATGTATCCCTGGTCATTCCACAGATAACTCTACTTTTTCTTAATCTACTGCACAAGGAGAATGTTTTAAATGTTTATTAGCTTGGCTTGACGGGGTATATATTCTTAATGGGTCTCTTATTTATTTTTTTAGTTACCAGATGCTTTTTTCCTGATGTGTGTTCAATTTTCATGTTGATTCCCAAAACAGAGTTTCAAAAGCTAAGGTGAACGAATATGCAGAGAACATTGAAGCCATTGCTGCCAAGTTAGCTGTGCCCATGGTATGCGCAAGCTAGTTTCATTTTTTGTGATTTATCATTCTGATTTCACCTTGAATTCTTATACGAAAACATATCATATGGAGGTATTTTACGGAATATGAAAGAGCTGGCATTTTTTTATCAATAGGCTGTCACTGAAGTTTAGTGCATTATTTGCGCTGTTAGTCCATAGTGCTCAGCATTTCAGACTTCACCATTCTTTTGGCCTTACTGCTACTGTTGTTTCCATAACTCCGTTCTTTTGATGTCTTTGAACGTGGTTCAATCTTCTCTTCTGGAGTCTATCTTTCAACTTATATTAGATCAACTTGTTATAGTCATATGCAAGTAGTCTGTCGAAAATGTTTTTGCTTCTATTTGTATTATTAACATATCAATGATCTGCTATTGTTGTTTAACCAAATCCAGTCTGATGTGCAAACACCTGAGGAACCTGTGGCTGAGACTTCAAGCAGCGGAACTCCCAAAGCAGAAGACAGTGTGAGTTCTGCTTCTGAAGGACTGAGAAGAAGAGTCGGGTACCTGCATGGCTCTTTTGTCATTTATAGCCATTGTAATGTGCCGTTTATCAGTATCTCGCTTGAACGTGATTATTTTTGGGAGTGAAACAGGGTCCATTCAAACAATGAGGAGAGATCTCAAGACTCCATCGATTCTGATCAATCAGCTGCAGTCAAACTGGATGATGCTGCACGGACACATATTGAGAAGCACAGGTGCTCTATCTGTACTTCTTTTCCATATTGATACTTGTAGACAGTTTTTATGTGTTGGCATCTGTTCCACCAAGGGATTTCTGGTGTGTATTTGTTCCTGTAAAGAAGCAGCTTTCCATGTGTGATTAAAAGTGATAGTGGATATGCGCTCTTCTTTAGTTATTAGAAAAAATAGTTGATATGCTATTAAATATAACCAGAAAAGTCCCGGCATGAAGGAAGCATGATACTCCATATCTTTTTTTTTTCTCTCTTTTATTTACCAAGTAGAAGAGATGGAACACACCGAGTAAGCCTTTATGAGCTACGTACAATTCTGTCACTTTGTTGGCTAATCAGGTATATGCTCTATGGCTAACAGCTTGCCTTTCTGAAGTTTTCTTAGATGATGTAGGTTGGCAGTTTTGACATTCTAGTTAAGGTAGCATTTCAAATTGATTGAGCTGAAGAGAAGCATCTTTTAACTAACTGTTCATCTTCATTTGTGTAAGTTTTAGAATTTCTTTTTGTGCTTTGAGTGCTCTGAAATTGCATCAATTTGACATACTAAACTAATCTTAGCTCTGAGGTTATATGCACCCCAATTCCCAGTTATGTTTGATAGACTTGGCTACACAGGCAAATTTTTTTTGCTAATTTATGGTGTATTTTGAAGAATCCACATGAAATGCCCACTTGCAGTAGGCACTGTTTGACACACATTTCTGACACAATAAGTAAATAAATAAATGATCAATGTAATATAGAGCCTATCAAGCTCCAACACTTTTTGCTTAAACTATAGTTGGAGTCTTCAGACTGAGGGGCTACTCTGAAATCTGGCTTGATCAACATCATAGGAAGGAGCTTTAATACTTCTTTCATAGAGTTAATGCAAAAAAGAATGGGCGTTGCAATTAGAAGATTATATTTCCATGAGTTTTATATATGTTTTATGGATAACATGCTGACAAAGCTAGCTGAAAGGTTGAAATTAGCATTTACTAAATTAGTCTAATACTCAATATGCTTTTGTGAATGGAGGCAGATAATAGACTTACAGCTGCATTTTGCTGCAACGCATATGTTTGTCCAATCTTTTCCGTTGTAGGAGAAAAGTTACAAGAAAAATTAATCACTTATTTGTGCAACTTTTCTTTTCTCTGGAGAGGGGTGAGGGTAGTTAGGGAGAGTCCCCTGATCATTTATCAGATGTTCTCATCTTTTGCAGGAAACTTCAGGAGGACTTGACTGACGAAATGGTTATTTTGGCACGGCAGCTCAAAGAGAGTAGTCTCATGATGAATCAATCTATCAAAAATACTGAGAAAGTAAGTTTTATATTTCTTTTCACTCTGCTTAAATTGTTGGGAACCATCTCTAGCAATTTTTGCTTCGAGATGATTTTGCTGTCTCCAAAACATTTTACTATTTTGCCTGTAGGAGGCAATTGAGACTATTTGGTAGCTGATAGCCTGATACTATCTTTTCTGGCACACAACATTATTTATTAGTCTTAACTCTGGCATTACTACACGTTTGATGATTCTTTACTAGTTCTGTGTGATAAGAAATGGAATGCTTCAGCGTTCAATCTGTTTGGATTCACTCGGATTCTGAGTTATCTTGTCAAGTTATGGTCTTTTCCTTTTATCTCTTGTTAAACTTGGTTACTTTGTGTACATTGGCCTCATAATTGTCACATATAATGTGGATGCAGATACTTGATTCAACTGAGAAAGCAGTTGAGCATAGCCTAGCAAGTACAGGGCATGCAACTTCCAGGGCTATGGATGTGTATTCCCGGAGTTTCAAGACTACATGCTTCCAGTGGCTCTTGATCTTTGTCATGACATTAGTTTTTGTCATGGTTGTATTACTTATTCGAGTGACTTAGCAGCCGACCCCTTTGTTAGTGGAGATTTGACAAAATGTTTGGTTTTATTGTTACCGTGTATAGTAATGTAATCTGTAATTTTAGTTTAACAAAGTTAAAAGTTATTTGNAAGAGTTTTTTAAGCTTAATTCAATATGCTTTGTTGATATAATACTGATTGTCAAGGAGTAGAATTTTTAGTTGCTTTTCTCCTACTTAGGGTGGTTTGGTAGGATGTATAAGAATAATGCGGAATAAGGTGTATTAGTAATGCATGGATTAGTAATGCATATGTTACTAATGCAAACATTAGTTATGCATATATTATTTCTTATATACTGTTGGTGTGGTGTATTAAAATTATAATGTATTGCATAATTTTTAAGAAAAATAGTTGGTTACAAAAATGCTCTTCATATTCTCTAGCTTTAAAGGACTTTAAGGACAATTTTGTCTTTAAACATACTAATGCATGCATTAATAGCCTTGGTATTACTAATGTCATGGTTTTCTATGCTTTACTAATGTATAGGATAATACCAAGTATGATGTATAACTAATACAAATATTAGTTATACACATTGAAAAAATCTACCAAACAAGATATTAGTAATGTATAAAACTAATGCTTGCATTATTTTTTCAAATGCCTCCTACAAACGATACCTAATACTGTTTGTTGTTGATCAAGAGCCGACACTAAAGCTGGGAAGGTTCCAACAGAGGTCAAACTGGTACGAAGCCACGGCGTCTTCTTCCACACCCCCAAAACAAAAAGGCAAAAAGGAAAGGTCCTGGTTAAATACGTGCTTCTCCCTCTACTTTGTAATTTAATTCCACCCAAATTAAAAAAACAAGTACAAAAGATATAAGAAAAGTTTAAATTGTCACGTAATTTTTTGACACAAATAATATTATAGATATTTTTTCATGTTTTCCTTTATCAAAGGTCTAACTTGTTTATAACAATTCATAAAGACAATTTTTTCATTTCTTCAGATGAAACTTTTGTTATGACAAAATTAAGCCAATTTAGAGGGAAGATTTATGGTTCAACTCAAATACTCCAATTTCCAGAGCAACTTTTTTTAAAAAAAAAAACAGAAAACTTTTCATCAAAACTATATATATTTTTTATTGCATATTCCCGATGGGACCACCAAAACTATATGAATATACTGAATATTGGACCGTCAGTTCAATATGAAACATTAAAGAAACATTAGACCAAATTAAAGTTTAAGCGAAAAGATAGGCACCACACAAATTTTTTTTCTTTTTAGATTATTTTACATAGGGGGAGATGGACTGGACGGTGGAAAAATAATTCGCACAATTTGCATTATTTTCTTAGAAAATTCCAAATTAATACGTAGAAGAAAAAAAAAAGTTGGAAAATTCCAGATAAAAATAAAGGAATCTTCTCACCATCAACAAGAGAGAGGAACTTTGGTTGAGTGTCCCTTTTTTTTGCTATTTCTTGACGTCAACCTCTCTTCTTCCTCTTCCTTCTTTCAAGTCCTAATTCTAATCAAAACCCTAATTGAACGATCACAAAAATCTCCATCACAACCAAATAATCACTTCTCTTTTGCAAATTTTGATCAATTAACAACTATGGCAACCAGTGGAAACAAGAATATGAACGCCAAATTGGTTTGTTCTCGCATCTTTGATTTATCAATTTTGCTTATGGGTTGAGCTTTAATTCCATAAAGATTCCTTCTTTTTGTCTTATATGATCTGGGTCTTCTTTAATTCTTCAGAAATTTGATTCTTGACTTAGAATTTTTAATTTTATTTTTGGGTTTGATAACGAAAAGTCCTTCAATTTGGATTTCTATTGCTCCTTGTTTCCTTATTTGTAAAATTTAGATATGGTATTTCTCTTAGTTTTGTGCTTTGCCAGTAAGTTTATTATTCATGTATACCTTGATATGCTGAATTTGATCTTTCACTTGGTTACTATTTGCTGATGCTATGTTGTCAAAGTAAAATTGTTTATGGTTTGAGTTGGTTTGTATATTAATATGCTAAATTTGATCTTTCACTATTTGTTAATGCTATCTTGTCAAAGTAAACCTGGTGATGGTTTTTTCCGCCGTAGCTATTATGATATTTTTTTATTTTTATGCCTTTTGCGGTTGTACTGAAGTTTGGATAAAGTATTGAAGCGTTTTTGGTTTTAGGTGCTTCTTGGAGATGTTGGAGCTGGAAAATCTAGTCTAGTTCTGCGTTTTGTTAAAGGACAATTTATTGAATTTCAGGTAGGTGCTTAGCTCACCATTTGATATGTGTAGCTGGAAAGTCTAGTCTAATTCTGCACCTCCTATTTGACATTTTTACTTAATTCGGCTTTCTTATTTTAGGAATCAACTATTGGTGCCGCATTTTTCTCCCAAACAGTAGCAGTAAATGATGCAACTGTAAAATTTGAAATATGGGACACAGCAGGCCAAGAGAGATACCACAGTCTTGCTCCAATGTACTATAGAGGAGCTGCGGCTGCTATAATTGTTTTTGATATCACAAATCAAGTAATTCTCCCACTTGATTCCATCTAGTCGTCATAATTCACTCGATACTGATCCCGTAATGTTTGCCAGCATGAACTTGCTAACTTAGTTTCTCAATTATTTATTTATAGGCATCATTTGATAGAGCAAAAAAGTGGGTTCAGGAGCTTCAGGCACAAGGTACCTTTGACATCTTAAGTTGCATCATTGTCTGACTTTATTCCTGTAAGGCCGTACTGAAATATTCCTAACTTAAATTAGTATGTCTAAAATACTTGGTGATGTATGATTAGGAGGGTTTTAGCTGCTTAGAGCAAGGTAGAATTTTTTGGCAAAATATGATGAAATATTCTAACATTCAATTAGTGGGTAATATGAGGGGATCGGTTGGAGTTATTGCTTCGCATATGGGTGAGTTGAAAGTTGAACATCGTCGCACAATGAAGCCAGAATGGAAGGAAATAAGCACTGTTTCCTTTTCATGGATGGTGCATACAACAGTGTTCTTTCAATAACACATATTGTCTTTTCATATATCTTACTTTTCTCTACCTCAAACTACGTCCCAGGTAATCCAAATATGGTGATGGCACTTGCGGGGAATAAGGCAGATTTGTTAGATGCAAGAAAAGTGGCTGCAGAGGTTAGTGTTTTTGTACCTGTGACTCAACACTGCTTTCCATACGATAGATAGTGATGTGCAAAAGCACCACAAAAAGCTTAGCCGGAGATATGGGTGTCAATTTACACATGATGTTGTTATTCGCCCAAGTATTTATGAATTGCGTGAATGATAATTTAAACTACATGGCCGGCATGACCAGTTATTCAGGGTTTGCAAGGTTATAGCGGATACCCTAAGGTATTGAGGTGTTCTTCAGTGCTATTTTCTCAACCTCATGTTACTGCCTACACCTGAAAATTAGAAATTTACAACATGCATGTGCTTAAAGCTCCATTCTTGGCTATCAAAAAAGCTTCATTCTTGGTCTACGCTGTTGTTTTTTTTTTTTTTTTCCCTTTCCCACTTTCCTATTCTTGGGTTGCTTTTTTATTGGAAAAAATTGGTCTCTCTCTCTCTCAGAGAGAGAAACACAGACACACACACACAGAGTAATGTTAGAATTGTTTAAAAAAAAATTAATGTGCAATCTTTAATTTTGAGAAAGGCAACGATATATTCATCAGCACAAAGAAAGTGCTGGCAGGCATTTTTACTTGGTGGGAACTGGAAAGAGAGAGAGTAACAAAGCTAGTTACAGGTTTTCTGGAAAACTAGACTTCCCAAAAGAAAATTAAAATAGGTGAGCTTAATCCTTCAAACTTTGGCTTCACATCTTTTTAGACCAAGTTTGATCTGGATGCTGTCGAAGTAAACAATGATGCACACTGGGAGGAAATACGTCCAGATAATGCCACTTTGGATCACATTTGGAAACACCCCACCCCAAAAAGATTAAAGAAAAAAAAATGTTTTTTTTTGTCGCCAAAATAGGATTAGTGGCTCCCACTAAATCCAGATCAAGAAAATTCTGTAACAGGCACTTATACAGTTTCCTTTTCTTTCTTTCTTTTGTTCTTTTTTCTTTTCCTTTTTTCTGATTTTGATAATGGTGGTGAGATTTGTACAGCAGTAGAAAATATATAAAACTTTATTCTGTTGGAGAGCCTATATGATTGGATATTGGAATGAAACGGTTAAAAACAAAGCAAAATGGGCAATCAGTATTCATAACCTCAACTGTAGTTGTTGATAACAGTGGTATCACGGCTAGTTTGTGCAGATCGACTAGTTTATCGGGTACCTACTACTTCCACCAACATAGTCATCGAGTAACTCCAATCTGTAAGGTTTTGACAAATGAGAAGACATACCTAGTGTCCTTTTGGTTGGATACGGAACCTTGGTTCCCAAGATTGTTACTCCAGTTCTCGTACTGGTAGGCCACTTCTTGGGGCCTAAACTCATATACATGTCTTCTGACCCAGCTATGGCAAAAGAGGTTCTATATGGCTGAAAACCTATGAGTTTGTGAAACTTGCAATCTAGATGTTTCTGTAGAAAACATTAAACGACAGGTTTTCGATTTTTTTTCTAAACTGGGTTGGTAGTTAAAGATAGCAGCACGATCCAAAACTCAATTGGTTAGTGAATGCGTCTGGATGCCTGTGACCCTTTTTACAAAAATTTCGTCTCTATGAGTTTTAGTCTATTTATTCACTTACTTAAATACACATCCAAAGGATCTCAAAGTCCTCAAGGCATTAGCATTATATCGGAATTGATATTCTACTTAACAGTTTTTTCACTGGAATTGCATCATTACTGATACGTTACTAATGCTGTTTCAGGAAGCACAAACATATGCCCAGGAGAATGGTCTTTTCTTCATGGAAACATCTGCAAAAACTGCATCTAATGTTAATGACATTTTCTATGAAATAGGTAATTACTTGCATTCATTTTCTGTGTTTATGGGCTGCCAGCTTTTGTGGTATGAGGTCATTTGCATATGAAGTCAATGTTCTGCTCTTGTTGGCTATGCATATCATTATCGTGCGCTATCGGTTTTGAACCACTACTTATATGCATTTTGTATGACATGACATTACTGGGAACCAAATTGAGTAATTACTTTGGTACGTGTTAATATAGTAGAGGAAAAGGAATTTATTAACTTATTAAGAAACCTTGTTTCTTTATGTTGCAATTGACATGCTGATGCGGAATAATAATACTTGTTGCAGCAATACATATAAAAGAAGTAACATAAGAAGTTAGTTTTTAGTTAATCATCTCTTACCTATGATCTCTCATTTGCGTTTAGTAATGTTTATAGTATTTTTTATTTAGTTATGAGAAGAGTTACTGTCTGGAGAGCAGAGTGTTACTCATTCATCCATGTTTTAGTAATCTCATATTTCTTTTAGTTAGTATTCTAGTATATCTAAATCTTACTCTTCCTCTTAGTGATGTTCTTAATTTGATATAATCAAAAATGGATAACTGTAAATTTTATATAATTAACAATATTACACTAATTATATTTATTCAACTATGATAATAAAACGAATACTGGAGTGTAAAAAGTGATTTAATATGGGTTGAGGATATCATTGGTGGCAAATCTCTCTTTGATTTAAGAATAGACACGTTTATATGACACTACATATCCAGATTTTAATACAATGAACCAAAACTCCAATGACAAATACAAAGTATCTCTGCAATACAATGTCCAAGTCGAATTTTGTCTTCTTGAGCCGAGGGTCTGTCGGAAACAACCTCTCTACCCTCTTGGGATAGGGGTAAAGTCTGCGTACACTCTATCCTCCCCAGACCCCACTTGTGGGATTTGGGATTTTACTGGGTTGTTGTTTGTTGTTGTCGTGCATATAACTGGCGACTTGTTATTTTTATCAATCTGAATATATAGTTCTTAAACTGTTTATTCACTTGCAGCAAATAGACTGCCTCGGCTTCAGCCAGCACAAAATCCATCTGGGATGGTTCTTATGGATAGGCCTGCTCAAACACCGGCTAGTGCTTCTTGTTGCTCTTAAATGTCTATTAGTGCTTCTCATTACAATGCTGTTTTTTGTTTAATGTGTTTGTGCTGATTGTTAAGAGTTTGTTGTGCCATTTCTCCATCATTGTACAGATATTTCATGAAAAATTCTTCAAGATGATTTGACTCTTTTCTTTGAATCCTCCCTATGTAATGAGATTCTATATATGACATGCTTGAGTGGTGCTATTAAACAATATATAATATGTGCTCTTTCTTATGGGTTCCAATTATAATGAGATTGGGATCGTTAATAGGGTCGCCCATGGGTAGTGCAAGATAAAGCTAATTAACAACTCTTCCCGTACCAACTCTCTTAATTCGTACTGACCCGAGTCTGGCCACTATGAAACATTAAAACATTGTTAAAAACGAGATGTCAAACAAGAAGTTAGTTTTTGCTTTCATTTTTCTGGTTTCACCTGTCTACAGCAAAGCAGTTTACTTCATGTCTCACTCTGGCGAGTCCTGCTGGTGGTAAGGCGTGTATGTAGTGGGCGTGTTTGGATGTATGAATTGTGAAATTTTGAAAAAAAAGTAATAAAAATAATTCAAGTTGAAAATGGTATTTGGAGCTGTTTTTGAATTCTTGTGAGTGCTTTCAAGTGAATTTTGAAAAATAACTTTTTGGAGTTTTTAAAATTTCAAAAAAAAATCGAAATTTAACTCAGGTGAAATTTGAAATTTTAAGGCCAAACACTCATTCCGAAAAAAAGTGAAAAAAGTTTCGGAAAAAAAGATTCTTTTTTTATGGCCAAATGGGCAAGTAAATCAGCCATTATTGATGTTATCACTTGGTCGAGCTGTCCTCATCTTGACCAAACTATAATCACATATACACTAACCTCATATCACTATTTGGTATTCAGGCCAGAAATTGGTAACTTGGGATTGAAGTAATAGTTGTTGGCGGTTCGATTGAAGGGTAACAGTCATTGTATTGGAGCAACCATCAGTCAGCAATCAATAATCGATATTTGCTGAGCTAAACAATCTGAATTCTAGATCTCAACGAGCACTGTTTGTTTTGGATTATGTGAATGCTTTTTTTTTTTTTAATGCAGAATAATCACTGTCACTGAAATAATAGAATACCACCAACTACGCGAAAGTGACTGATTTAATTAAGATTAAGAACAAACCTTATGAGAATGGAAAACTGGAAATTCTAGAAAGATTATATCAGAGGACAAGACCTCAAAATCGCCGAAAATTAAAGAAGGTTCCAAATTCCAATAATAACACAATACAAACAAATTATGCTAGCCCCCTTTAACTCTTCTCAATGCGACTTTATAATATCTGTTCTATTCCTTAACAAAAGATAATATTTGTTCGTCATCTGTCCAGTGAAAGGCTAAGAGATCAACTTTTTTTAATATTCTTCTTAATAACTGTTCAAAGCCAAAATTAAATAAGATGTCTCTGATATTACAAGAGCTATAATAGTGTTTGAATCTCCTTAGTATAAAAGGATCACATCAATCGTTTTCTATCAGGTGACACACATAATCCTATACTTATATATTATTTATTATCATTGCTAAGTTATAAAACTGAAGCAAATCTTACAGTGATAAGGATGTAACATTTTGATCCCATCTTTGCAGCTATACAAGAATATCACTAATAACATCTCTTCCAAAGTAAAATTTTAACAATAATCATTTCCTCGTGAAGAAATTGAATAAGAAGATACATTTAATTTCAATATGCTTCTTTATTTCCAAGCAACTAGCTACAATATACGGGAAGGTGCACGTGGCTCCCATTGATGATATTGGGGAGAAGGTGCACGTGGCTCCCATTGATGACAAGATGCGGGAAGCGAGACTCAGATGGTTCGGGCATGTACAGAGGAGAAGCCCAGATGCTCAAGTAAGGAGGTGTGAGCGGCTGGTTATGGAAGGCACGAGAAGAGGTAGAGGGCGGCCTAAAAAGTATTGGGGAGAGGTGATCAGGTAGGATATGGCGAGGCTTCAGATTTTCGAGGATATGACACTTGATAGGAAGTTGTGGAGGTCGAGTATTACGGTTGTAGGCTAGGAGGTAGTTGAGTCCTGCGTTACTTTGTACCTTTGTAAGCCTAGTCCGGTGGGGTTTTGTCTAAGATAGCTAGGGGCAATGTCGTGTCTTACTATTTTCTATTTTCGACGCAGGATCCATTTACTAGCCATCGTTTTTGCTTTGCATTTTTCTTCTGCATTTTATGTTCCTTTTTCCCTCCGTGGTGAATCTAATATTCTCTCCTTTTGTCTTTTTATTATCTTGAGCCGAGGGTCTTCCGGAAACAGCCTCTCTATCTTTTCGGGGTAGGGGTAAGGTCTGCGTACACACTACCCTCCCCAGACCCCACTTGAGGGATTTTACTGGGTTGTTGTTGTTGTAGCTACAATATACATCCAGCTCAATCCTTCGGATTGAACGAGAATCATTTTTGCTTGTGCTTTTTAAAATAAGAAAACTTTCTTCATCGATACATAAACGCATCATTAAACGAAACAAAAAAAAACACTAAATTCAAAATTACAATTTCAAGCTGAGATCCACATATAGTGTTTTTGGACAAAAGCAGGTAGCAGAATCCAATTTTTTCATTATTTATTTCTTGTGAAGTCCATGAGAAGCTGCAGCTGCGGCACAATCAGTGTTTTGAAATCCAATCCTTTCCTTCTCCAAGTCATACACAACTTCCACATTTTGCTGTTGGAAGCTTCCAAAAATCCCAGCTGGCCCCTCTTCAGAATCTTCCATGCTTTGGAACAACAAGCATTTCACCACTGTTGAATTTCTTGGTGCACCCATTGCATAGAAATTATTCCCATTGGGCAAAACAAGACTCACATTGTTCAAGAAATGGAATGTAATTAAAGGGAAATCATCGGTAGCTAGAGTATTAATGTTGTTACTAGGGCATGGGAGCTTGTAACAAAGATCAAATCCTGTTCGTGCCTCGACTTCCTCTGCTCGTGGGTAATTTATCGATGATTCAAGAGCGGTGAGAAGATTCGAGTAGAATGGCTCAGGTAAGTGAGTATAAGTGGTTCCAGAATCAATCAACATTCCCCCATTGCCTAAAGAATCAACTTCTCTCAAGGCTAAGGGTACTTGTGCAGTGGCACCACCATTCCCCACAGTTATGGCCTCTAGGCCAATGTAATAGAAGTTAGGGTACATAGAGCTTTTCAACATAGGAGTAAATTGGAAATTTTCTTTAGAAGAAATAGCTTGTTGACCTACAACTAGAGGGCTTGACATATTAGGGTTATTTGCAAACTTGAAAGGCAAGAAGCAATGTGAAAAACCCTTTTGAAGAAACCCTAATTGAGAAGGTAAAGAAAGTGGACCTTTCCCAAACCCTACAATCCCAATAGGCTCTCTATAAGTTGTTCCAACACATCCAAAGACAAACTTTTGGACTTCCCTAATATTAGAATTAGGGTTTGAATGTACTCTTAGGGTATCCCTAGTTAGGGTTCCAGTTACAACACCTTCACCATAGGTGTAAGCAAAAGAAGGACATGGTCTTGAGCAAGTGCCCTTAAGTAGGCTACTTAAAGAGCATCCTGCAACTGTGCATTGATCGAACGCGTTATCGGAGCTATGGATATTAATACAAGAGTGGCTATCACAAAAATCCCTAGAGGAAGAAGATGAAAATGAAGGAGAGAAGCTTGACATTAACTTGTGATTCTTATAATCATCACAATCTATACAATCGAAGGATAGGTTTCCACAAGGTACCCAAGTAAGGTCATTCCCTGTATCCATATACACTTGGATAATTTGTGGGGGTGTTCCCAAATTCAAAGTTATCAAATAACCATCCCTCACTTCTCTCAATGGCTCCATTATGTCGTCCAATGTCTCAAAGGTTTTTTTCACCGAGTTATACGAAGACTTGGGAATCGAAAGGCTATTTTTCGAACGAGTTAAACTTAACACCAACGAAGAAGAAGGGGTTCTTTCCTTAGCATAGCATTGGTTGAAATGAAGCAATGCACTAGAAAGAAAAAAGAAGATCAAGAAGAAAGTTATGAGGCGGAAAGGTGTTTTCATTTTCCTTAAAAATGATTTCTTCCCATGAAATAAGGCAAAGGGGAAGCTGGTATTTATAGCCATTTCTAGTGTTAATGGTGGAAATTAGGGTTTCTGAACTTCTACTTAGGCTTTTCTGTGCTAACAGATGTTGCATGGTGAAGAATAATTAAGTTTTCCTTTTTATTTTCTTTTGTCTTTTTGGTTAAATTTCAGACTTATTATTTTTGTGTTAGGAAAGAAAATAAGATAGTATACACCGGATTCTTATTCCACAGATATTATTTTAAGTTCAATATTTGTTTTCTTTCTTCAGATGTTTGCGGCAGTGAAAAGTATGACTCAGCTTTGCATGGCTTATATACTCATTCTAGAAAGGGATAGTAGGCAGCATTACCTGAATAGATCGATTCCGTACGTACCAATGTATTAAAAAACTGCTAAGGCGTGCTGTTATTTTATTTCTATCAATTATTTATCTATTATTATTGCTAGTATCTCTTTTATTTAGGACATTTAACTGTTATTATCATTAGTTGTTAATAAAGTGAAGAGGGTATCATGTTTGAGTCTAGAGGCTGCCTTGTGGAAGCAAATGAGATGAACGAGTGGTTGGCACGAGCAATGCACACAAAAAATGCTAGTATTAACAAATCGTTTTGCTAATTCACACTAGCACATGATGACGCGAGAAGCTGCGCATCTGACAGAGATTTATATGAGATTTGGACCACTTTTCGAACAATTGTAGTTTTGGATTTCAAAAGTAGGCACGAATTCACAGAATGTAGTAACTAGCAAGTTAGGTTACAGCATTAAAAGACGATTTCTCGTTGAGCCTAATCAGGGTAGTATGAAGGCTAGCTAGTTCTGGGGTCGGTCAGTTGAACCCACGGATGCATGTGCTATTTTTTATCATTGTTCAAAGCATGAGTTATAAGTTACGTGTTCAAAGTCATAGAAACAGTCATCGATATTTCCATTAAGATATGCTGCCTATGTAATATCTTATTGGTACGGCCCTTTCGCAAACCCTGCATAAATACGGGATGCTTTGTGCACTGACATGCCCAATAGTTGAGATTGTTAACCTTGATGATGACATTAAACTAATTCCTCTTATTTTCAATTAAACTACTCACAAATGCAATTGGGCTATTTGAATTGATTTTAATTCCTGCAAGTATTCGAGTTAGAGATGAGTAGAAACCTACCCGTAATTGTTTTTTCATAACTAGGATGATTTCTATTGAAATATGCATTTATTCAGACGAAGAAAGATGAGTTTTTTGGCTAATGCAGTTTTAAGTGCTTAGATTATTGCTATTATGCTATGATACGATGCATAATGTGTGTTCTTATCTATATTTTCAAAAGCATGTTTCAGAATTTCCTACGTAGACTTCCTAATATGACTCTTTTAAACTTAGTAAAGGCGGCCATAAGTATGAGCTTTCGGTATCAAGTGTACGCAATGAGATTTGCGCATAAGTTCTGTACCTTGGAAAATCAATTCAAAGTTGTAATGGAAACTATATTGTTTAGGATTTATTAATTATTAGTTTATTTAATTCATGTCTAGTTAAGATTTATTTATCAAATTCATGTTCGAATAGTGTTGGGAAATGTGTAAGGCTAATAGAAGGGAAAAAATATTTAAAAGAGAAAAATAATGGGCAGAATGTCTGTTGAAAGAAAATTTTCAGGGAATGTGAATACGAAGAGGACGACACCGCAAAATGCACGCCGAATTCTTCTTTCACATTTGCAGCTTGCCTTTTGACTCTTATGTCTTTCTATCTTTCCTTTCTTTCTTTTTCTTTGACTTTTTTCATTTTGCTCACATACGTTTTTCTTTTTTTCTTTTTTTTCACATACACCAAGGTTTGATTCCATCAATCTCCCCCTCAAATCTATGTTACATCAAGAAAGAAATTTGAAAAAAAGAAATTGTTATTCTCTGGTGGCGCCTTCATATTATCAGTCTTGAATGCTAACTGATGTAGTGCACAGCCTCAGTTTGTCAACACCGACAACTTTGGTCAACATGTCTAACGGGTTCTTCGATCCCGGTATCTTTCGTAGGCAAAAAGTTTCTTCACTTATCAACTCTCAGATATGATGATACCTCAACTGGATATACTTCGATCTTGCATGAAACATTGGATTCTTGGCAACATGGATTGCAATCTAGCTATCACTGAAAAGCTCATAATTGTCCTGCTCTTTAAGAAAATTCTCGAGCCAAATCATCTCTTTACCAGCTTCTGAGATTGCCATGTACTCTGCTTCAATGGTAGATAGAGAAACACTTTTCTGAAGTCTGGACATTCAGCTAACATCAACCAAATTTGAACACGTAGCCTGCGGTACTTTTTCGACTATCCAGATCGCCGCCTAAATTTGCATCAGCAAAACCTTATAAGATAATATTGTTCTTTTTAAAACAAAGTGTCATACTTGAGGTGCCTTTGAGATGTCTCAATATCCATTTTACACCTTCCCAATGCTCCTTTCCTAGGTCTGACATGTATCTACTGACAACTCCAACCGCATGGGCTGTCAGTTCTAGTGTAAACCATAACATACATCAAACTTCCTACTACTGAAGCATATGGATCTTTGGACATGTACTTCCTTGCTTCATCCGTCTTAGGTGATTGGTCCTTCGAGAGATTAAGATGGATTCCGAGTTGAGTGCTTTGGTCTTTGCATCATGAAGACTGAACTTGCTTAGTACTTTCTGTATGTACTTTTCTTCAGACAATTTTAAGATTCCTTCAAACATGTTTCTGCTAACCCTCATCCCAAGCATTTGCTTAGCTGGTCCTAAGTCTTTCCTTTCAAACTCCTCCGCCAGTTATTGCTTAACCATGTTGCTCTTATTTATGCTAAATCCAACAATTAGCATATTATCAACGTACAACAGTAAAATGGAATAGGATTCATCAAGATTTTTGATATAACAGCAATAGTCCATCTCAAATCGTGTGAATACATTGTTATGCATAAATCCATCAAATTTCTTGTACCATTGTCGGGGAGCTTGTTTCAAATCATATAAACTCTTCTTTAACTTACACACAAGGATTTCTTTACCAGAAACTTGCAAACCTTCAGGTTGCTCCATGTAGATGTCTTCTTCAAGGTCATTATACAAGAAAGCAACATCTAACTGCTCCAAATGCAAATTTTCTGCAGATACGATACTTAGCACCAACATGATAGTAGTTAATTTGACTACAAGAGAAAGATCTCGGTGTAGTCAATTCCTTCCTTCTGCTGAAAGCCTTTTACTACTAATCGTGTTTTGTATCTCTTTTTACCATCATGATATTCATTGACTCTGTACACCCACTTGTTCTGCAATACAATTGGTGGAGAAAAATGAAGAAAGATATAGTTTGGTTTGTAGCTCGGTGTTTAAATTGTCAACAGGTGAAGTACAAGTATAAGATACCGGGCAAAATGCTTTAGATACTTGAAATTCCAGAGTGGAAGTGGGAGTGTATTACCATGGACTTCGTAGTTGGACTCTCACAGACTTTGAGGAAGTTTGATGTTGTTTGGGTGATTATAGATCGGTTGACCAAGTCCGCACATTTTATTCCAGTCGGTACTACTTATTCTGCAGAGTGGTTGGCTAAGATTTATATTCGCGAGTTGCCATCATGGTATGCCGGTGTCCATCATTTCAGATTGGAGCATCTTCATTACCTCGAAAGTTTCCCCAGGCTTGAATTAACCCTATTCCACGACAACTTGTTCATCCCTCCGAGTATTTTCCCGGGACTGTTCGGGCTCGACCTTGTTAGGGACATGGCTTTAGTTCTGCAATTGTGCTATCACCGCCTGTTGAGCCTGCAACATTTCGAAAATCAACTGCATGCTCACCCCATCACCTTCACTTTCATCTTGCAGCACTTCTCAAGCAACTGGTTGGGGTCCCCCACGACCGTTATTTTCGGAATCAATTGGTAAATTGATGTTGATGGCCACCTGTGAGTTAGCATTGACCAGTTCGGCGGCTGGAACACTATTGGGATCGACCGCAGGCACATCATTGGTAGGCATCGCGTTATTATTCTCACCATGATGGCCTAAATCAGCATCAACGTCCAAGTGAACAAACTAAGAATTGAACATCCTTAGGCTAACCTGAAATCAAATTTTAAAGAACAAGCGTAAAATATGGTATGTTATGGAGATTCATATCAAATCACCACTATTATCCTTAGTCCACGGTAGGCGGTAAACTGTTTACCCCAAAAAATGAGTAATAATTAAATTTGTACGCGGTTTTAAGGATATGTGATTTAACTCAATACTAATAATAAGAATAACAAGTAAATTGGTTAAAGATAAAATAAATGATCAAACCAATCACAATATGATGACCAAGCCTGATCTTAGGTTGAACAATGGAATTCATCCTCGATCGGACCTTCGTTACAAGCTCGATCGCGAATAAATAAGAGAACAAATGAAAAACACTTTGAACAATAACTAGAAGATAAAAATAAACTTTATTACTTTAAACTATGTATCACAATGTGTCAGAACAAAGAAAATCTTTCCCTTTATATAGTAGGGGAATTTCAGTTCTAGTACAAGTCTAAATAAGGTATAAATCTTCTTTTTTCGATAAATGTCGATCCGCAGTTGAGATCGGACGAGATCGAAAGGTAATATCCGGTTGAGGGTGAATACTAAGGCCTCGTACTCGTCATGCATAACCATTCTCCGCGTTTCCAAAGGTCCAAAAACTAGGTCGTAGTATGTTATTTCACCGTTTTCGATCTCAAGTACATCGTTCATTCCTCTCAGCTTTCGATATCAGAGGTCCTTGGGACTCGATTATAATTACGTCAATTCATGTTTCCCCTTTGTTTTCTCATTGGGGAATTGGGGAAAACTCTGCCCCTAATTTTACCCGTACACAATTTTAACATGAAGATCTACCATGGAATATACTATGAAGAAAAATAATATATATAATGACGAAAAAGTAGAAGGCATGATTCTCAAATTATCATGAATAAGAGAAAGTGGCCACTAAGTTACCTGTGTTGATTCTTTTTGTT